GCGATCCTCCCGCCTCAGCCTCCCAGAGTGCTAGGATTACAGGTGTGAGCCACCACACCTGGCCTCTTCTTTTTTCTTTAAGATAGAGTCTCCCTCTGTTGCCTAGGCTAGAGTGCAGTGGTATCATCATAGCTCAAACCAACCTCAAACTCCTGGGCTCAAGCAATCATCCTGCCTCAGCCTCCCGAATAGCTGGACACAGGCACATGCCACAGCGTCCAGCTTTTTTTTTTTTTTTTTTTTTTGAGACAGAGTCTCACTGTGTTGCCTGGGCTAGAGTGCCGTGGTGTCAGCCTAGCTCATAGCAACCTCAAATTCCTGGGCTCAAACAATCTTTCTGCCTCAGCCTCCTGAGTAACTGGGACTACAGGCATGTACCACCACGCCTGGCTAATTTTTTCTATATATTTTTAGTCGGCCAATTAATTTCTATTCTTAGTGGAGCCGGGGTCTCACACTCCTGACCTTGAGCTATCTGCCCACCTCGGCCTCCCGGAGTGCTAGGATTACAGACGTGAGCCACTGCGCCCGGCCTAATTTTTCTTTTTTAGTAGAGATTAATTTTCTATTTTTAGTAGAGACAGGGGTCTCTTGCTGAGGCTGGTCTCGAACTCTTGACCTCAAGGAATCCTCCTGCCTCAGCCTCCCAGAGTGCTAGGATTACAGGTGTTAGCCACCTCGCCCAGCCCACGTTTAATCAATTTTCACCACACACTTACATGGGCACGAGAATCCAGTCCTGAATGTGACAGATCCCTTACCCTTGCAGAGCTCAGACTGCAGGGGATCCAGGGTGGTTAGCAGAATAGAAGCTGGACCAAGGAAACCCCAGATTTCTTTCTTTTTTTTTTTTGAGACAGAGTCTCACTCTGTTGCCCCTGCTAGAGTGCCATGGTGTCAGCCTAGCTTACAGCAACCTCAAACTCCTGGGCTCAAGCGATCCTTCTGCCTCAGCCTCCTGAGTAGCTGGGACTATGGGCATGCACCACATGCAATAATTTTTCTATATATTTTTAGTTGGCCAATTAATTTCTTTCTATTTTCAGTAGAGATGGGATTTCGCTCTTACTCAGGCTGGTCTCGAACTCCTGATCTCGAGCGATCCTCCCGCCTCAGCCTCCCAGAGTGCTAGGATTACAGGTGTGAGCCACCACACCTGGCCTCTTCTTTTTTCTTTAAGATAGAAGTTCCCTCTGTTGCCTAGGCTAGAGTGCAGTGGTATCATCATAGCTCAACCAACCTCAAACTCCTGGGTCAAGCAATCATCCTGCCTCAGCCCCCGAATAGCTGGACACAGGCACTGCCACAGCGTCCAGCTTTTTTTTTTTTTTTTTTTGAGACAGAGTCTCACTGTGTTGCCTGGGCTAGAGTGCCGTGGTGTCAGCCTAGCTCATAGCAACCTCAAATTCCTGGGCTCAAACAATCTTTCTGCCTCAGCCTCCTGAGTAACTGGGACTACAGGCATGTACCACCACGCCTGGCTAATTTTTTCTATATTTTTAGCCGGCCAATTAATTTCTATTTTAGTGGAGCCGGTCTCACACTCCTGACCTTGAGCTATCTGCCCACCTCGGCCTCCCGGAGTGCTAGGATTACAGACGTGAGCCACTGCGCCCGGCCTAATTTTTCTTTTTTAGTAGAGATTAATTTTCTATTTTTAGTAGAGACAGGGGTCTCTTGCTGAGGCTGGTCTCGAACTCTTGACCTCAAGGAATCCTCCTGCCTCAGCCTCCCAGAGTGCTAGGATTACAGGTGTTAGCCACCTCGCCCAGCCCACGTTTAATCAATTTTCACCAACACTTACATGGGCCACGAGAATCCAGTCCTGAATGTGACAGATCCCTTACCCTTGCAGAGCTCAGACTGCAGGGGATCCAGGGATGGGTTAGCAGAATAGAAGCTGGATCAAGGAAACCCTCAAGTGCCAGACTAAGGAGTGAATTTTGCTCTGTAGGCAACAGGGAATATGACAGGCCCCTACCTGGGTCCCTTCCCTCTCCTATTTCTATTCTCTTCCATCTTGTTCTCTGTTTCTTCTTCCTCTTTCCCACTGGAAAAGCCACTGGCCTAAATTCTAGTCCTGATTCTACTGTTTCCTAACTGTGCAATAAGCTAGTTAGCCTCTCTGAGCCTCCATATCCAGATCTGTAAAATGGGGTTAATGACACCTGCCAGAAGGTTTCAGTAAGCCTTGCAGGTTCAGCACCAGGCAGGAATCCCTGGCTAAGCTAGCACTTGATAAACAAGAGAGGCTGCTACTGCTGCCTCTCCTACCTTTGGCTTCAAGGGGCAGCAGAGAGCCAGAGAGCCAGACTGTCCCCAGGGGCGGGGTGATATCCAGCCCCAGAGGAGGCTGGAAAAATGGGGAAAGCCCCTTGCCTCTCTCTGCCAACTTCCTGGCAATTCTGCTCAGGAACCTAAGAACTTGGCAGGGCAGGGTATTTCCAGGGGAATCCTTAGGTGGGAAATAAAGAGCTGCCTCCATCACCGTAGAAGGCAAAGCTGTCCCCAGTCCTCAATGCAGGACCCCCAGGTCCCAGCCTTCCTCTCTGGGCCTGAGGAATGGGAAGGGCCAGGCAAAGGGAGATGCTCTAATCATCGTCTTCCCTGACTTCTTTCTCAGACACCTTATTAGCCAGCCCCTCCCTAAGGGACCCCCTTTTAGAAGGAGGGGGCGAAGTACAGATGGACCCCCCAGGTTACCATGGAGACGGCAGAGAAAGGGTTGCTGTATCACCATGGCAATAATTGACGTCAGCTCTACCCTTTCGCATTGCTTGATGTGAGAGGGGGACAGCCACCCCAACCACACGCAGATCCCCCACAAAGCCTCCTCCCCTTCCTGAGCCAATCAGCCAGAGGGTCGTCAAGGCTTAATATAGCACAGGAGCTAAAAGCGCAGACTCTGATGTCAGTCAAACCTTGGTTCAAATCCTCACTCTGCCGCATCCTAGCTGTGTGAATTTGAGCAAGGTCCTTAACCCCTTCAGGTCTCACAGGTGCACTGAGGATGGATAAGCTCTGTGCCTTAGTACGTGAGGATTACACGGGACCACACGGGACGGCACTGGGATTGGCTCACGGAAGACTGCCAAGTGTCCCACTTACCACTTTGGGACTTGTCAGGGGACTGTGGCCCTTCAGATATAGACTCATAGCCCCTAGAGGGCCCCTGGGACTTACAAGGACTGGGCCCCAGAGTTTGAGAATCTCAGGATTTGGGGATCTCAGGACAGAGCCAGAGACAGTGGAATTTCCAGGCTCTGAGGAAACCCCAGATTCCACTTTCCCTGGACTGTGGCCTGACTTCCCCTTTCTCTCCCTTCTGCCTTGTCCTAGGCCTTCTTAGCAGCCTCTGCGTCTTGGGCCTCCATCTGCTCCTCTAAGAAAGAGGATGGATGAGGGACCACAGCAGGTAGAACAGGGGCTGAATGCTACTAAGGTATGGGTGGCCCAGCTCCCACTACCTTCTCCCCACCCGCCCTTGGGGTAGGAGGACCAAAGTCATCCCTAATCCCTCCCAGGGAACCACAGTTCATCCTACCCCAAATCCATTGCCACCACCCTGAGTCAGGTCCCCATCACTACTCACCTGAAAAACCCCAG